ACTTCAAGTCATGCTGGCGTTGCGGGGTCGACACTGGGGGGAGGATACGGATGGCTGACAGGGAGGTACGGTCTGATCATGGACAGCCTCCTGAGTGTTAGGATGGTACTCGCAGATGGCTCCATTGTCGAAGCGTCGGAAACTACTTCCCCAGAGCTTTTCTGGGCGGCCCGAGGTGCCGGACAAGCCTTCGGTGTGGTGACTGAGCTTGTCTTTCGTGCGTATGATCTGAAACATCACGTATTCGGGGGAGCTCTGTACTTTACACCAGATAAGCTGCCAAAGATTGTGGATTTCGCCAATGAATTCCACCGTCGCATGGATGAGAACAGCGGCCTCATGTTTGGGTTCACGGCGCCTCCGTTCATGACGGAGACTGCTATCCTGGTCATTCCTTTCTATAATGGCACCCGCGAAGAGGCAGAAGACTTCTTTGAACCCCTCCTGTCAGCTGGCCCTGCTGCATCGCAAACCGATATGATGTCTTATACGAAACTCAACGCGGTGGCTAATGTAGAACCGTCTCCAGAGGGCCGCAAAAGCATCAACGGGACCAATATCTCCCCGCCACTTGACACCGACTTTGTACACGATGTATACAGCCAATTCGACAGGGTAATGAGAAGCTGGAGGCGAGTGGGAAATAGTGTACTCATGTTTGAGCTGCTGCCATATACTCACATCATTGCAGTACCATTGGATGCTACGGCTTGCGCTAATCGAGGCCGGTACTACAATGTTGGCTCGATCTTCTGCTGGCAGGATCCAGATCTCGACCAGAAGATGCTGACAGAGCAGCAAGGCATTATCTCCAAGATCGCGAATTTCGGATCCCGTGAGGAGGGTGAAAATCGCGTAGCCGCATATGCCAACTATGCTGGTAAGTCCACAGTGACCCCCCACCGAGAGCTAGCAATAGTCTTTAAGTCCTCCTGGTGGCGTCACTCATGTTGACGCCGATCGATACAACGCAGTGATTGACATTGAATAGGGCATAATATCAGTGCTGCGAGGCTATTTGGCGAGAACTTGGAGCGGTTGCAGCAGCTGAAGAGAACCTTCGATCCCAATAATGTGTTTAGAAAGTGGCACGACCTCCTCCATCAAAAGAACGAACCACACTCAGTGTAATCAGTTTGTAAAAGTAAACACTGCTAACAATTCGAATCCATTTTCCAATCTTCTGGGGTTGATCACTGTAAAGTCGATCTCACCTACTACTCACCCTTGATAACGGGCCCATCTTCGGGCCGTTGACAAGTAGTGGATAAATCCACCCTTTGGTTCGGTACGACACGGTGCCAACAGCAAAATACGGGACGTCCCAAGTTTTCGCCCAAGACTGCTTGATTGGCCAATTGGGTGACATGGGGAATTTGACTTCGATTCCGGGGTCCAGATTCTGCCTGTCATAAACCCTATTGCAGGCCTGGAAGTGATTCCCTTCGAAAGAATGTTCCAAGCTGCAGGCATAGAAGTTTTGTCCGATTCGTAGCTCATACCCGTCTTGGAAGGTGTCTCTCAGGCTATATATTTCACCCGAGAAAGGTTGACAGTAAAACATATCCCTTATTGGGCGCCATCCAGGGCCACGCAGAGTCGACCAAGAAACAACGCTGTCGGCGGCATGTCCCCCATGTGGCCTAGACGGAATTCCCACATCTCACCCTGCATTCTGATCCGTGGAACTAGAACATGACACCTACATCCTGCAGCTCGGCTATCCGATCCATAACTTCCCTTTCAACCGGGACTGAAGGGGTCAAGGTCATGTATTTCATTCGGCCGCCACCGTGGCGTATACGAGGTTCAATGTCCGCTATGGTTTGAAAAATGTTATATAAGTGCCTTCAAGTAGGACGTTTTTCAGATCCCATCAATTTGTATGCATTTACACATATTGTCTAATACACACCTTGTATAACACTGAATCTCTTCAAGTCCTCCGAGGCCTTAGTCTCTACATATTCTCTTTTGCTTCAGCTGCTGCAGACACCATGTCTTCCCTGCTCGGCAATACTCTAACCAACAACCTCCAAACACTGAACAACGTGACCTACTCCAAGAACTACCAGCCCATACCCATACACGACTCGGAATCCACTGCAAGCTCTCCACCGGAGAAGACACTGCCGGTGCCGATGTCACACCATGACCATCCCTTAATCCTACCTCCTGCGACTGAATTTGACACAACACACAAGTCTTCTCGAGAGACCTCAACGCGGTCGCACCGGAACTCGCCCCGGAGACCGTCGAGCGCGTCTAGCAATAGCCCATGGGGCAGTTACAAAGGGCTGGATAAGGACGCGCTCAACTCCCTCCAGGAATACTGCAGCTCGTTTGATCAAGTCCGAATTCTGAAGCGGGGATTACAGACATTGAAGTGATGTTCTTCCTAAAAGCACGAAATAAAAGCAAGGATTGTTTGGCGTTCCTGGGGAGCGAATATTTGTATTTGATGATCGGGTCATATATTTCTAGCACGGCGTTGGGTAGCATGAAGGGCTTGATACCACATCTCGGATACACCGATATATTGTCGATCGTTTATACCTTCAATATACCTACTAATGTATTTAATTCTATACTGATTTACGGATTGCCACACCAACCTCTCTATTTCCTCCAAGACATCATAGTTACCGCAGGGCCTCCATCTAGGGTGTCCATGGGCTATACCTGACACGAGCACGCCAATTCAACGGCACTAACCCCATTTACAAAACTTATGCAAACGAACCGAAGTTCGTCGACTAGATCCCCAGGCGGGCCCAGACGTGCCTAGACCATAGTATAACCCCAATAAGCTCGCCGTCGGGGCCACCCTAACCGGCGGACCGCCGACGCGTGAACCACAGTTTACGGGGTAATGTGACCTCTCCTATGCGAAAAGTTAGATGCCCTCTCGTATCTTTTCCGGAGTTCTCCTCGGCCTCACTTTTCACTTCGTCTGATGTTTGGCCACAAGGACTGGATGTAACCGCATTAAGTAATCTTAGACGGATACTTCCGTTTTCTCTCCTTGCGTCGGTTCCCTTCATCCATCTTCCGGCCGAAATGCTGGTATGTAAAGGGGGACATGTTCGTTCCATGGCAGGTTGCCATGGAGGAGGCTGGATAGAGGGAAAATAAGGAAGAACCTTCCCAGAAAACTTAGACTAAACAGAATTCAATTCGTCTAAGCGAGGAGAACTGGCCGTCTAATTTCCTGTATTGACTATAGTTCATTCCTTTCAGAAGACCAATTTCTCTAGTAGTCAATACCCTTTGCCTTCAAATGTTGAAGATCCTGAATTACCACGCAAAAACGCCACATATCTAAACATCTCCTAAGGTAGATTGACAAACGACGCCCAAGTAAACATGTTGATCAACGTAACGAGCCAAACTCCTACGATGGGGGGGCGGGGGGAGGGGATAATCTAGGTACCCTTGCGTAGATTAGCTATGCCTGACGTTACTTCAAACTCCGGGAACTTCACCCGCCAGTCGGGCATTCGCTCCCAGCGTAATTAGGTTATGGTTTGACGTTTAGAATGACGGGTAAACGTCGAAGAGAACCTTCCTGCCATGCCCTTGGGTTCGTGCGTAACCTTAAGTGATCTGGTATGGTAAATCGAGGGATTAAGGGATGGAGATAGGAAGTCTGACCCTTGTCTTAAGTTTCCATGACAGCTTTACCTTTCTGTCGCAGGGTTGATGAATGTGAGTGACCGGTAATACTGTGCGGTTGAATGATGTTTGTCATTTGCTCGGGACACCTTCCCAGATATTCAGGCATAGTATGGAGTATTTTGAGATAGGGATGAGTTAACTATATAGACATTCCTGTGAGGCTTTGGGAATGTTTCTGGTATACATAGCTAGGACGGTGAAAGTTGAGATTATACCTCTAACGGTGTATCAGGTACAGGTACAAGAATTGCAAGCAAAAGTTTCGATGCTGAAACATGATCGAGGACGAAATACAGCAAGCCAACATATCACTCACAGTGCACGCTCTCCCGGATCATCTTGCGGATCACATCGCCCAGTTCCGACAACGTTCTCGGGTTCCTTGGAAGAGTATGATCACTGCCATGATCAAAATACTCGGCGTTGTCAATATTGCAGATATCATACAATGTCTTCGACCCTCTAGAAACGCGTCCTCTGCACTGATAACATGACAAGTCGGGACAGATATATACTCATCATCAAGACCCGTCTCTGGGCTTGACCCTACTTTACATGATTATGCTGGCGCTCCTGAGCAGTGCGGCAGTCTATTAGCCACCACCGTTCAAGATACACCCGACTTCAAAGGGCGCCAAGTGACGATTGCTTACTAGTACCCCGAGATATCTAGCTCATTTCCAGTCGACATCCTTGCCCGCGATATAGAAAGTATGACGGGTTGGCCCCATGGGCCCATGAGATGGGCACATTGTCCAGTATCGACGGGAGTTTATGAGATATTCGGATTACCATACAGAACCAGCGTATGTTGTTGTAGTGATGAGATTGTCCGTCCCCGGGCCAATCCTTGGTTAACTCCTCGAATAGGAAAATTGTTTACCCAACGGACCTTGCGTCTCACATCTATCCAACGATCGGATTGTATCCGCTCCTTGTTGACTATTTTCGTCCTGTCTCGAACTCTTCACCCCTCAACAAAGATACCCGTTTCGAAGAATGGCTCAGGACCATGATTTACCTGCTATGCTGAAACGTCGCCTACTTCGCGGCGAGATCATATACGCCGCCGCAAAGGAACAAGACTCTAATATTCTGTATTAATTGGGATACAGGGATTAGAAGGTTCGATATTTTATCTATCTGTATCGAAACCGCAAACTTATCGATACAATCGTGGCCCATCATCTCAACCTCCCTTCTGCCGACACGTGTCATATTGTTGACGTTGAGGAATGGATACATGGCAGCTTCAATGTTTGCATCCGAGTTGAGGTTGATGGCTAAGGGCGGGATCCTGGGAAACAACTGATGATCAGATTTCTATTGCCGTACCGGATTGGGGAGAACTGCTGTCCAGGCAATGCGGATGAGAAAGTTCGTTGCGAAGCTGGGACCTACTCCGCCGTGATCTCTGCCACGGCCCGTTCATTCTCAACCTCACTGGTCTGAACCAGACTAGTATCTTTGTTGACGACGATTGGAATATCAAGTGCCTGATAGATCTCGAGTGGGCATGCTCTCTGCCAGTGGAGATGATTCATCCTCCGTACTGGTTGACGAATCAGGCTATTGACTTGATCAGCCTGGACAACTACGAAACTTATTCACCAAGAGTTCATGGAGGCATTCGCAGAGGAAGAGATGAAAATTCAGCCACCAGTCCGTCTCTATCCTATTTTTCAGCATGGATGGGAGAGAGGAACATTTTGGTGTTCTCTTGCGCTCAGTCGTCCTACGGCGTTGTTCAAAATCTTTTATGACTTCATTCAACCGAGGTTTTCTAAGGCTCACGATGATCCAGCTTTCTGGCAAGTCACTATGCCCTACTGGACATTCAATACCTTTAAGTTTATTGAACAAAAAGTGAAGGATAAAGAGCAATACGATGCTTCTTTGCGTGAAGCATTTGAAAGCGGAAGTTCTCATGGCTAGAGCATACAAATCCTGATCGTCCTCGTTCACTGCCCTTGACCTGCACGCTTACTTCTCTCACCACTTTGCTCCCTCCGGTTGAAGTCCTCTACTGCACTCTCAAGGTTCAGAAGAGATTTTCGCTGTACAGCTTTGCCAGAAGAAGACAATTGGCAGGGCCTCTGTAGCACGCGTAGTCCTTTTGTTTTTTTTTTTTAGATATTAGGCTTGATGTTTTTTCTTAAGCGGTGTATAGTTCAATATTCAACTCTGATATTTGATTTCTGATATGTATAGAATATCTCGAGATCCTGTACAGCAAGTCGACTCTTTAACAAAGTTTATTATATTTCGGGAATATCGACAACTGACTGTACTTGAAAGGATCAAATAGACTTGGGACTGTCACAGATCGAGGTTTGATCTTAATACAGCTGGCTGGTCTCTACACTAGTTAGGCTAGTAGTACGGGGAACCCGCTAACCCCAGTGATTTAATTCCGGGGGCGGGTTCTCGATCTACGACCCGGACCCAAAACCAACTCGATAATGATTTCAGCGCGGAAGGGAGTAAATAATAATACAGCTACCAACCAGATCCCGATATCCAAAAAGATATCTTTATTTTCGGTTTAACTCCTTTCGAAATAGCGACAGATAAGATGTCTTAGCCAGTACTCCGCACACTGACCCATGCATTATCATAACCGCAAGTGACGAAAAACTGCAGGCATGTGCTATCAGAGGTGAACGCCTGGTAGCTTTCCCAACTGCACCAAAAGAGACAGTAGAGGAACTGCAGCCAATCTTACCTACCCAGAAGAGTATGGAGTCCACAAATGGAACTTATTCGGTCCGCCCGCTGTTCCGATATCGTCTGTGTAGAGTTATCATGCTAGTCTAACTGATTTAAGTATGGTCATTTCACAACTGAATAATGTGTTACCACCGGAAAGAATATATATTTTGAATTCACCTGAATGGAGGTGCTGTTAGTATAGCATGCTATGTTGTTTGGTGCAAATATATATTCAACACACACTACCTTTGCAATCATTGCGACGAACAACTGGAAGAAAACACCACACTACTACAAAACCGTGATGCTAGATGTAGAAAAAATCGAGTAGAAGTCGCAATAACAGTATGTCTTTCTATGGACCATTCTCTAATGACATGACACAAACGTATATCCATGGGGTGAAACCGAGCTCATGAAGCGTAAAATTACAGTAATTAATCCAGCTCTTCGCTTGGAGTCCTGGGCGAATGTGCTCCGAATAAAAGCTTCCTAGAAAAGTACTTGGATATCATCGTATGACACACCGGTCTCGCGAGAACAAATGCTGCTACCGAATGATGAAATAATGCCGAACAGGGTAATCAACGGATATAAGGAAACCAGAAACTAGGGCAATAGGAAATGCAAGGGAAAAAGGCAAGGAAAAAAAAGTCAATGACAGGTGTATAACACTGGTCTTCTCATGGAGAGCAACGAGGTATACAGGAAAAGAAAAGACACGTAAAGGGATGAACGGCTTTTTGTCAACCACCAATTCGGTATGTACTGACTGCTGGGAAACCATATGCAGAACTGGTCTAGTGTACACTTCTGCTGGCTTGGCTGGCACGGCTGGCACGACTTGCACGGCTAGGCGTAGTTCGAGGTTCTTCCTCTTCCATAACATCGCTGAGTCGGGTGGGATGGCGATGACGGGGGGTCACAGAGTCCCAGGTAGTTCCCCATCCGGAGCCACTGTAATCTACAGAGCCCTGGCTATAAGGCGCGGAGGTGGTCGGCGGCATAGTGCTAGGCACATAGCCCCCTTCATCCTCCACGGATCCCCGCTCATAGTCGTCGCTTTCCTCGGACATAGGACGTGGGTAAACGATGGAAGGCCCTTGCTGAGGTTGGGTACGGCGATATCCGCCATATTCGTCATCGCCAGGCTCACTGCTAGCTGCGCTCGGATCATAGGAGCGGTTGTCGTTCTCAGATGCCGGGCGGCCAGTGTACTCGCCATCGTGTTCATAGTAATTCCCGGCATACTGCCCCGAGGGTTCTGCAGCTGCTGATGTGTGCGGTTGTCGGGGAGCATAGCGCTGGCTGTCAGATTCCTGATAAGGCCGCTGCCCCTCCGTGAATGGATCGGTCTCTGTAGGTGACCCGGGCGTTTCTTCATAGTAATGACCTTCGGATGACTTTCCCTGCCCCCCTGATGGATGGTTCGCGGTGTTCGACCGAGAAGGGAGGCCCTGGATCATCGGCACCACCTGCACTCCTCCAACCAAGGTGGGCTCTCCGTTGCGCAGAGAGTTCGTTCGATCCCGTTCCTCTTGCTCACGGCGACCAAGTTCCTCCCACGCACGACGGGCTTCTTCCTTGGATATTTGAAGTTCCCGGCGCATTTCCTTGAGCAGCGACTCCGCGCGACTCTTGTCACTCTCGGCCTTCTGCAACGCAGCCATTGCTTCTGTCCGCGATTGTTTCTCAGTCCGGACCTGTCGCTCTAAATCGGCCTGGAGTTCTTTGGATCGCTCTTGCTCTGCACGGGTGTCAAAGAACCACCGCTGGAACTTTCGCTCGGATGATGCCCGCAGACGCTGCAGTTCCACCACGGCGTGAAAAAGATTGGCACCAGCAGCGGAGAGATCGGTCACCTGACGGGCCATCTGTTGGCTAATGGGGTCGCGTTCTAAAGCCTCACTGTTCTGCTCCAACTTTCGAATCCAGTAGCCAGTTAGGCCTTCCCAATGGGAGGATAACGTTTCCCACCGTTCAAAAGCGTGAGGAAAACCGACACGTCGTGGTGGCTGCTGCGCCTGGGAAGTGCCAGGCTGATTTGGAGCTTGTGCTGGTTGCTTTTGGACGCCAGTCGAGCCTGTTGGTGGCTGCTGGGGATTGTGCTGTGCCGAAGGCCCAGGTTGCCTGGGGTGGGCGTGTGGCATCGGAGCCTGACCGTGAGCCTGGGAGTCTGGCCGTTGAGCCGCCGCTGGAATTCCCGGAGGCTGCTGTGTCGTACGAGATTCCGGCTGAATGTCAGCCCCCGCGGGAGCAGTGGGACCTGCTCTCCGCTGTGAAGGTCGATTACCCGCAACGCCAGCAGCATAGGGCTGGGCTGGATCCTGAGCCCTTTCTTGTGACTCTTGCCGCCTGTGCTCGGCCTCTTCCTGCTCCCTATCTCTGGCTTCCTGTTCCGCTTTTTTGCGAGCTTCTCGGTCCCGGCGCTGTCTCATGATATCGGTCGGTGTCCGGACCCCACTTGGGGGGTGTGTGTTAACGGGGACAGGGCCATGGGCCGCGCGTGAAGCGCCATTTTGTGTTCGCCCTGTGCCTGCGAGGCCAATCGAACCAGTCGCGCTTCCCAAGTCAGACATGGGCGCATTCACTTCTTCCCAATCCGGTGTAAACGGCAGGGGTTTTCGAATAGCTTCTTCTAGCGCCCAAAGAATGGCAGACGCTGTACGTGGGCAAACCCGGGTAGACCTGCGAGGCCAGTATGACTCGCCTGATGCTCGAGGATGATCGTCAGTTAGCGAGTCAGCGTCGTCGTCGTATCCCTCTGTCCGGGCTTCGGAAAGCGCAGGACGAAGTGCAGCAACTCCGCTATTACGGTCCGACACAGGTTGGACCAGTACGGGAATTGTTTGCTCTATCTGAGATGGGCGACCTGAAGCATATACTGATCCCGGCCGTTGACGAATTGAGCGGGACGTTCTCCGTAACGAACGGGTACTTCCTTGACTACTCAGAGGGCGCGGTGATGGGTATCGGGGAGGATCAGAGGCAGGATTGGAAGCAGCCTGCTGCTGGCGTTGCGGTAAATCGGTCGTAAACGTGGAGGGGTCGTGAATCTCGTAGGTCTCGTCAAATGCGCCGTGGGTGTGGGGAGACACCGCTGGATATGGATGTGAATGGTGTGAAGGGAAATGCGACAACGTGAGAATTGGCACTGGGGCCGTCTATGAGTCGGTGGACAATTCCGATGACGTGGGAGGGTTATCAATCAAGAATTCAAGTTCTCCGAGGTCTTGGGAGCCCAGCGCACAAGTCGAACCGGCCTCTGAAGAGTAAGATAGATGTAAGTACGTACACAATTAAGCACGTTGGAATGTGGATATTCTTTTAGGGACTGGAAAAAAAAGGAGCAATTCCAAGGGCAAGGCAGGGCTAAAAGTGGGCAAGTGTGCAAGGCAAGTGGCTGGTCGAATGAGAAGGCGACGGGGATGTGAAGAATTGCGATGGCTGGGAATCAAATCAATTGGCTTGGTTACCTTTAAAGCTCGCTCTCAGACCGCCACGAGCACCGGACGAAGCTCGTAGCAGTCATAGAGCAGAGCTCAATGGCTGCCGACACAAGGCGAAATAGTCCAATCGGTGTGTTGCGTGGGGAATGACAGTTGTACGTACGGCGTACAGCGCAAGAAATATTAATAGAAAACCTAAGGGAGGAAGCGTGGAGGAAAAGTAGAGTCAGTGGGGGTCACGGGAAAATGTGTAGTCAGCCAAAGTCACGGGCCCCATCATATCCACTACCAACAACCGCTTTTCCATGATGGAATTGATTCATCCAGTCGTTTTCTGCTTTGTCGCAGAACGGGGTTTTATAAATGACCCTCGCTTTCTTTAATCATCCCTATCCTGACTGGTATCAATCCGCTAAATTACACCTGTCCTTTGCCGCGTGATTTCACAATGGGGCGCATTTGAAACGACAATATTACCATTGAATACCCTGTTGGTGGGCTATCTATTTTGAATTGCGTCGGAGTTGAAATTACTTTTCGATACCAAACCATGGTTCCAGGTTCAGGATTCACCACCTGATGCGCTGGTGGTGCGTCTTGGCTGGATGGGTTTCATATCGTTATGATGCCTCATGGATGCCTCAAGTTCTCGCTGACAGTCAATGCGACCTACTTTGGCCCATAGATATCGACGTTTGGAGAGGGACTCCGTAGGAACGACAGGGCCGCGAATTAGTCGAATCAGATCGCTCCCAACCCCTGGACTAAAGAAGTTCACCTGAGGTGGATTGGAGGATGAAACGAACCAACGGATCTTCTCCACTCTGGGTCCCCGATCTGGTTCGTCTGAACAGAAGCACAGACACGGTCCATTTATCCATCAATTTGACTTCAACGATTCGGCTTGCTCACCACGCGGTGTTAGGGGGTCCTTCACATAGTGGACTTCGTTGCACAAGGGTGTATCGATAATCTCGGGAAATGATGATCGAAATGAGAAGAAGAACGGAAGATTAATTTTCTTGTTCTCCATGCCCCTTCCCCGTGCCGTTCCCTTCTCATGCATGATATGTCTTTTTCAAAATCAACCAAAATGAAAATCAAGGGATGCTGATCGCTTTCCCCATCTGGCCGTCTTATTAAATATCAATTTTCAATCTGGTTTTCTTGACTATAGTCGATTTAGCGATCGAAGGTCGAGTCAAACGGGATGTAACTCTTAGTGGGCTTGACGAGAACCGACAGTCAGTAAGGGCAGCCCTACAGAACATCATCCGGCCCTGATTGACTGGAAGGAATCCCGTCCACCTGCTCCGGTCTCATATCTATTGATGTGCCTTGCAGATCCTGAACCACCCTCCTGGGTACTTCTCTGCGCATCCCAGCCGAGGTTACGTTTATTGCTCTTTGTTGTCGCTCTCTCTGCAGCTCGGTGACTGGTCGCCGACGTTCAAAATCAAGGTTGGAATATGCTCCAACCCAACAAAACAAGAGGGCGGGTTTATATATGGGCATGTAGAGGTAGATGATAGGTAGGCAGCAACCTTGGCCTTTGTGGAGTGCTGTGGAAAGCCTTCACAGTTCGAGGCAGGTGTAAGTTTTGTGGCCGGCAGCGTGCTGCTGCAAGCCCGGCCTTCCCCGTGAAGAAATCTTGGTTCACGATGCAGACAAGGCTCGAACGGTTTATTAAGTTTTGGTACTTATTACCCATGCGCTGCACGGAAGGCTAGAACTTGACCGTCGCCGCTCATAACCACTTGCATACTTGATATACATGCATATACATATGTAGGTACAGAACATGAGCATTGGGAGCAGAGGGAGCATAGAGCACAATTTATTGGATCCATCAGCATGCGCCCGTAGAACTCAAGGAGCCTTTTGCATGGTTGGTATGCGCGTCATGCAACTGTTTTGCTTCCCCGAATGGTCTGGACATCTGTCCTTCCCCATCCCACCATACACTAGCCAAAGACTTTCAAATACATCACGATCCGGCGGACCCGGGAAAACTACTCGTCGCACGGGGTAGACCCCAGCGAATTGACAGGTCAGAAGGATCCGGCCCTATGAGCAATACGAGTTGAATCAACCATGCTTCTGGCCTAATATAGAAAGTCAATGCACGCGATCGCCAGCTTGGTGATCTTGGTGAGGGTGTTAAATCGAAATACACGCTTATGAGTAAAAAATGGACCCATCTATAAACACCACTAGTACGCGAATATACTTTAGCTTACAGGCTCTGGTGATTTCCCGGATCTCAATGACGGCGTTGCCGGCTGCACTCAACCTGATGTACGAAAGGGTTTAAGGGGGAAATGCAGGAGGCCAAACACAGCGAGGGCAACAGAGAGAAGGGAGAAAAGAAGAGGAGGAAAAGGGCAGCGCATGACAGAGCGTCAGTTGGCATAGAGGCATTGGGTCATGACTACACTGGCCAGCAAGGATTTGCGAGACGATGTTCCAATGCATGAAGCCAACCTCTTCGGAGAATAACCTGTAGCAACGTTGGCTCTGAAAATCAGCCACTATACCAAGAAGCTGCGAGGGTGGAGTCGACAGTTGGATGTTCCAATAGAGGTCGCGTCTCAACTCTGTGGCCATCTAGTTTGGAGCTTGAAGAATGGTCAACAGTGTGTCATAGCAACCTGCACGGTCTGCTGGAATGCGGACCCAAACACCCGTTGGTGTATTCTTTAGAGCCTCGAGACCATGACTTTGCAAAAAGAGGAAAATAGGACCAGAGAGCATGAGAGGAGCTGTGACAGTGTGGCTTGATTTCGCCACCATTTAAGCTTCCTTCCTGACCTGCGATGGCGTTCTCGATAGTGAACTATAGAATCATATTTCAAGGACCATGCTAACGATTGGACAGCCCTCACCTTGCTGCCAAGCATACTGTTGACGGATCGACATGATCGACAGCCACTACAACCTGATAGGGCCTTAGTGGAAGATCCTGGAAGACTTCCGCGGTCGACTTTTGTCCAAGCGGAAGTGATCACTCACATTTGCAGGAACATCGGCCTTGTGTTACCAGGTAGTTGGGACTGAGCCCCAAATACCGAACAACGTCTACTCCTTAGAGTAGGTTTGCGATGTATGTGGATGAAACGCTCTATCCATTGCAAATTATTTTCACGTCGATGACTGCCGAGTGGCAAATTTTCTCTTGCGCCGAATTAATCCCGGCTTCCTACAGCTATGCGGATACTATTAATAACGATGGAGACCTATCTAGGAAAGGAAAGGAGCGTGACGGGAATTGATCGAGTTTAGAATCTAGCCAGCGCACTACTTGCACTTTCCGCAACTGTCATACACTGGTTGTGTCGCTGCCAAAGTGCCAATCCAATGACGTACGTGAGAATGGGTGCCCGAAGGCCCTGGTCCCGGTTGAGAATTGAATTCACAACACGAACGGGGAACATTGTCCATAAGAATGGTTGGTCTGTGGCTCGCTTTTACACCCTGCGAGTGTAGGTTGCGGATCGGGATCCGGGTGTCTCCCTTGCTCCAGCCTCGATTGCCCGCGCCTTACTGCAAGCGTTATCCCTAGGGAAGGGGACCATGTAAGGTCCGATAGGTTTTTGGAGTCCGTGCTTTCGGGTGATTGAGCTTTGTTTACACCATTGTGCATTGGCATGCTGCGGCTCCTCTCCCCGGCCTAGCCACCAATCCATCGCATCGGGTGGGCTCCAGACCCAAAAGAGGATCCGTTGTGATATGTATAAACACAACCCCTTCGCCCTTGCCATTTCGTATGCTCTGGCTCCCCAGAGGTCTCCCTATCCTTGGACGCGAACAGGGTATTCAGCGTCTGTATTATTTTCTTCCGATGAACGCTCTATATCCTTGAGCATACACTAAACAGCTCCGTGGTTGTTGCAATATCACCCCATGGCTACCGCATATCATCCTCTTCCCGGGGAATTGAATGCTTTCCGCCGTGGCCGCAAGAGCTCCCAGACGAGCTTTGGCTTGCCCCCACCGTCGCCGCAGAGGAAACGGGCCTCATCATTTTATCCACCAAGGGATCCTGTGGCAACAGACGAAACGAATCCATTCTACCTCGAGCGCTCTCTGGAGTACGGAGCCCAGCGAGCTCACCGGCCTGGTGCTCGCGATGTTAGATTCAGTGAAGAAGCTAATCAGTATTATATGCTATCCGCCCTGAATCCTGGAAAAGAGCTTCCTTTCCCTGTCCCGGTTCGTGGGGAGACTGCAAGGTCCCGTACTAATATCAATCGGTCAACACTCTCTGTGGTTGAACTCGAGCATCAACTAGCTCTTCAACAAATTTCACCACAACCTTGGGGCCAATCCAGCCATTATAGCCAAGGATCGTTCGGATCAGTGCAAACGGAGGCTACTCCAGACTTGACCCCAAGCAGCTCCTTCTCCTCGAACTACTCCGCTCCCATATACCCCGACGACGCAGTCAGACTGAGTGAGCAGTCTGCCCGTCATTCTCATAAAGATACCACATCTGGAAGCCAGAAATTCTTCTATCCCTCGACGCCCCAGAACCGTTCTCGAACGGCGGAGCTCAGCCAACCATCTACACCCCCTCGGGAAGCCAGCCTGCAGACTGCGCCGTCCAACGCGTCGTCTGACACCTTAGTCATGCCTCAGCCCGACGCTCTCGACTCCCACCGTGGAAAGCCACTACCATCTCTGCCCGCTGTTGCGCGCAATGCCAACACTTTAGCAAACAGAAGAGCCCAAATAGCCATTGGGAAACCTCCCATAGAGGCATGTATGATCTCTCCTCCTTGCCGAATCAATCCCGTCACAATGGAGCCTCACACAACTCGCTTTGATGAAACCATGTTCATCCCGGCCAATGACTGTCCAAGTCCTGTTCCCAGTCCAGGTTCCAATTCGCCTTCCATGGATAGGCCAGCCCCATTTGCTCGCGATAGGCCGTCAACATCCACATCGGAAGTGGTCTGTGAGCATTCGGTGTGGGAATCAGACTCGGACAGCGAAGATGTGGATCCGAAGTCGCTGTCGAGGAAGCCTATGGATACATTGAAGAAGGTCCGCAGTCGCGTACACCTACGGGTGGCCAAGTCGGCCCCGAAGTTACAGAACTCCAGCAACAGTCCTCAAGCCCTAGAGAAATGCCCTACGACGCCGGACAAGCCCCCAGAAGATCGTTGCCCACCCCCGGTGAGGTCAATCGGGAAATCTCGTTTGTCTCCCGATAAGTTCCCATCGGCACCCCAAACGGTGCGTATTGTGGCCCCATCGACCACATCCCTCGTGCCTCCGCGGACGCCTCGATCCCGGCGCAACAGCAAAGAAGAGCGTCCAAACTTCGACATCGATCGGTCAACAGCAGCGGCGATGCAGGCCAAGTCGAGGCGTAAGCCACGGTCTAATTCGCCCCAGTCGTCCTTATCAAGTGAAGGCGATAAGATCCGTACCTTGTGCCGCGAAGAGCGATCGGAGAAAGCCCTTCAGCGTTTGACACCTTTACGACAACCTCTCTACAAACGTGTTTGGGAGTCGCTGCGCGTCCTCGGGTGCCACGGGGACATGCCACCTCCTAGGCCACGCAAGGCCATGTAACAGTTTTTGTATATCGATACCTATTTTCTGTGCTTGAAAGCCCCGGGAAAAACTTTGGATGGCGTTGGTGTATACAGAAACGCTTTCGCGTTCACCTTCCCGGCGATGACGATAATTTCGCTTGTTCTGTTCCCGAAATAATGTCTTATGAAGCTGCTTTACGGACTCCAACGGATGGGAGTCGGTGATGAACAACGCCCGATCGCATTGTGCCATAGTGCCTTTCGATGATTTATGAGCTCGACATGTTGAGCATGAGACCGCAGCTATTTCCTACTAATGCCACCGCTGCGATGAATGATTTAATGTAGTACGATGATGAGGCTATGGGATCTGGATTCCCGCTCTTGAGCTTTCGCTCTCTTTGATTTCCTTGATTGACTCTCTCACTCTCTGTGACCTTTCCTTGATTTCTTTTTTTTTTTTTTTTTTCAGTCATTCTCTCTATCAAACCGCGCACGCTCTCTGAAATTTCCTATGGTCAAACGTTGACGATGGCTATCACTCTTTACAATCCGCTAGTGAACCGACACACTATGTTTCTTTTCTCATCCAAACAAGAATTATAAAAGACCCAGATGAAAGTCTAGGACAAGGCGCAAGCCATCTTACACAATCTACTTCCAATGAGCTCCGTACCACTTTCCAATGGCTTCCAGTAACAACATTGCCTAAGCGTAGATCGCGATCTACAATGTGGGGTAAAAGCTCGTACTTTCCGCAAGCTCTCTGATGTTTTGATCCCCCTTGCGTGTGGCGCACCAGATAGCATTTCCACCCCAACCCTATATCCCTTGGGTCCGATCATAGCCGACTCGGGAGTCCAGACCAAGGCCTCGGGCGACTTCGCATTCCCTGCTCGCCTAGTCCAGTGGCTGTCATTGCCGCTCTCCTTTGCTCAACCGTGTCCCTTCGGCTTTGCTGGGGTAACCGTGTAGAATGATTGCGTTATACCCGGGAATGAAGTCCTTTTGGCAGTGGACAAGAATCCTGGTTTCGGGATATGAACTGAAACAGGTCCAGATGAACTGTATTTGGTATCTTGTCGTGTGTTCATGCTACGTTACGTTTGATCATGCTTGCGATGTTACATTCGCATTCGTTGAGGATATTGTTGGTTTATGCAAACTTTGTCTATACAGTATATCGTCTGGTGAGTTGGGATGGGTTACTGGGTATTGTACAGTAATGTATAGGGTGTTGAAATACATGAATGATTTACTGCAACGCGTGATTGTAGGTACAAGTATTTCTTGTATGCACTCAATTGGCCTGAGAATGCTTTGATAGATGTGGACATCACCTATTAGTCTGGAGTTTTTATATTCAAATGTACCGTCGCGTGAGATGTACAGTAGTAACTGGATCATTTAGTTTCCCACTGATGAGATGTTTCTTCTCCTGTCGTAACTCATACTAGTTTCTATCTTTCTTAAACCCCTAGTCATGAATGGCATACAAAGTGTCCCACATTCAGTTCACCCTGCGCCTGACCAAATTATCTACAAAAGAAACTCCAAGTAGAATTCAGGCATGGATCTTCGCTGATGCCCTCCCAAACCCACACCGACAATCCCCTAGCTGACAGAAACCACCACGATCGCACGATCGCACGATCACCACACCCACAATGGGATTGCATATGCACGTAAACCAAGTACTATAGTATTCAGGAACCCGGCCCGGCATCCGCAGCGGACATCCCGAATCCTTGCAGCAGCCTCAGCTCTCCACCGCAAGGCCCTGAAACCGCCGCCCGGCACGCGCAGGTGCAGGTGCAGGCGCAGGAACAAAAAGACCTGCAGCAGAACTCGACGGGGAGCGAAGCCATCCGCGGACCGGGCCAGGGGAACTGAATTTTTTTTTTT